GCCACAACCCCTAGGTCTATCCTGAAGTAATGTGAAAAACAATCCCGGGCTTGTGCCTAGCGTCCTAGGACAGCAAGAAAACGGTAAATGAGGTTGGTTTCAGTAATTAAGGAGCATCTTTTTGTGAAGTAGGTTGCTTAAGTTGTATGTCTTTTCGTTCATACAGTTCTATTCTAAATAAATCGGTACCATTATTTTATTATCGTTACGGTAGATCGTTACAGATTTCCCTTGTTTGTATGCGGATAATTCCTACAAAATAAAATAATAACACTTTAAAGAGGATTTTCTAAATGATTTCAATTCCAAAAGTGGGTGAAAATGGAAACAGTTACAGAAACAGAGTTATACCGTATATATCTCAACAAAAGACAAATTGTGGATAACAGTCATAATAGAAGGTAGCAATAGCTGGTCGTAAATCTAAGGTTATTGTGTTGGAGACATTCAGTATAACAACATTGTCAACAGTGCGATGTAATGTTGGTTGTAGTCCCTGGCGAGCTGGGCTTTATGAGCCCGCTAATTCCTGCTTAACACCACAATGATCATTACAATGGCTCTACACTATTAGCACCAACATGTGGATATTAATATTGGATGTATAATAACTTGCAAATTATTGTTTTTGAGTTCATCAATATTTACTTCATGAATAACGATAATCAAGTACCTCCCCAGTAGTTGTCTTATGGAAATGGAAATTCATCCTGCGGAATGAAAATATAAATTGCATATACTGTAAATGCGACTAAAGGAAACCAATACATTTTCATCACTCACATTTTTGATAAAAACGATATAAACAAATTATTTGTTGTTTCCCAAGCTCCAATTTGGAGCAAGGTAAACACGATCAGCTGATTTCCCTTGTTATATATTTATTTTTCCTGACTCTCAATCAGATCTCTATTTGACTTTTAAGTGCATTAGTGTTTGTTTGAATTTTTGTACTTAAACAGTAATATTTAAATCAGCAGTTTTTACTGTTTAATAAAACAAATGTTTGTAAATTAAGTATTGAAGCAAATCTATATTTATAAAACCGAAATAGATAGAAATATTCTGTTTGTAGCAATAATTGTTAACTATAGATCCGCATTTTTTTAATAAAAAATATGTTCACCCCCCCCCCCTCCCCAGAACAGCGTAGGGAATAGGGGTTGACTTATTTTTAAATAGCAACCCCTATTGAGTGACCCCTCATTTTTAAGGATTTGTCAAAAGAGATACAACGACGCAAATCCGAGGTAAACATCTCACCTCTAGCCAAAATGGTGGGTATTCCAAATTGGGTGCTTTTTCACATAAATTAAATTTTGGAATACCCGCCATTTAGGCTAGGGGTGAAATATCTACCTCGGATTTGCGTCATTGTTTTTCTTTTAACAAACCCTTCAAAATGAGGGATCACTAAAAATAGGGGTCGTTATTAAAAATAATAAATCACCCCAACCCCCTACCCCGTTAAAGGGGATAAACAATATTGTTTGTTAAAAAAATTTCGGAACCTATGTTAACAACCAATTCCACAAACAGAATATTTCTCTATTTCGGTTTCAAAAATACAGATTTGTTTCCATTATTTGGGAAATTGGTGCTTTTTCACATTCAGTAAATCAAATTTTGGAATACCTGCTATTTTAGCAAGGGGTGAGATATCCACCTTGGATTTGCGTCATTCACCCCCTACCCCCTACCTGTTAGGGGGGGGGGGTAAAAAATATTTTTTGAGTAAAAAATTGCGGAACCTTTGTCAACAATTATTGCCACAAACAGAATATTTCTATCTATTTCGGTTTTAAAAATACAGATTTGTTTCAATACTTAATTTACACACTGTATATTAACAGGAATATGTATAAGCTAGTTTTTCTTTGTTTTAGATTTTAGTGCGAGGTAACTGCACAATAAACATAAATTAGAACATGAACGTCTAATTTTTACGTTGTTAAGTATAATCCTATAACCGATTAGCTTTTTTATATTAAAGTACAGATACTATTCCTGTAATGTTTAGGAAATAAAATAGTTAACATTTTACTGAGGAAAATTTTACAAAGTATACTTTATTTAAGTGTATTTGCGTCGTGATGAAAACTACCGATCATAATTATGTTGTACCGAAAGTGATTTTCCATCACTTTTTCAAATCATCCTCAGCTTCGCCTCCCATATTAAACTTGAGTGCGCACCGAAAAATGCCACTTTCGGCACTAGTTTTGAATCATACTATTTAATTAACTATCACCCTTGTTTAAGGAATGCTTGCACTTTTTGCTATGCCTATTTGAATAAATATTCAACAAAATATAATAATATTTACTAAACAAAATCTTATTTTAAAATATATACCTTAACTTATAAAATTAGTAGACTACACAAAGCTGAAAGGTTTTATTATTTTGGACAAGTGTGAGGAACAATAAACCCTAACGCTATTTCCAACAGCAGCCAGCAGTTTCCAAGTTTTATTAAATTTGCTCTTCGACGAGGTGTCGAAACAAATTTACACTTGAAACTTATGTACAAGCATTTGTTACTGTTTACTGCGAAGTGTAAAGAATACATTTGGACAACATTGCTGTGTGTTGTTTTGTATGTCAAATGTATGTCATATTCGCTTGAACAACTCTAGAATATTCATGGCTTTCAGATAAAATTTTTTAAATATAATTTTTATTAAATAAACTTACATAATTTTTTTTCTATTTTTATATAATCTACTTTTGAATAACAATTAAAATCGTTTTACACACAACAGAACAATTTTAAATTACTTTATTTTTATGAGATTTTTGACTAAACTTTTGAAGTAAGATGCCTAATAGGTAGCACTACTGAGATTTTAAATTGTTGTCTAAAGTTATAAGGGCCATTTTAAGAGTATCTATAACATGTAGGCTATTATGTTGGATAGGCAAATTCAAAATAGGATCATCAATAAAAGCGTTCAATCAATTTTAAAACACTCAATAAATTTTTCAGTTCATAATGTGTCCCTTTCCAAACGTTCTTCATTTAATTTTGCCAAGATATTGCAAAAAGTTTTCCTAGAAAATAACCGAAGATTTTTAAAACATTTCTCACATAATTTACAGAGAAAAAAACTTTTTTTTGGGAGAGTTCCCTACAAATGATTCGGTTCATAACCATTTTACCAGACAAAACTCTTTTCTCCGTCCAAACCAATGTGTAACTTTATGACCACAATCAATAACTTTAGTGAATTTGGCAAAAGATTGTATAATATGTTACCTGCTCACATTAAATGTCTTTAAATACAACAATTTAAATTTACTATTAGAAAGATTTTGTGTAATTTATGTGTGTATAAGGTCAAAGAATTTGTAGAACGTATTAAGTAGGTTAATGGATATACTGTGATGAAACTGTATGACGTTGCTATACATGTTTTTATAATGTTGATGGCAATAAATGGATTTGATTTGATTTTTATTGAGTATATAAGTCGCAGGTGCTCTTCAGTTCGGTTATAAAAACCCCTTTCCCACGAACGGTTAAGGGAGACGTGCCAACAAAGAGTTCTGTAGCACTGCATGTATACTTTATGAATCACGGATAGAGAAAATGTTGATGAGGGCGAGGGGATTCTGGGCACGTAAACTTTGCTGTAATGGTGTTATTAGGTCCGGTGCCCTGAATAAGTTAGAATCTGCAGACCGGAAAGGAGTTAGAACATTGTGTTGCATGATGGTAAAATTTCAGGTCCGTGAAGTTGGCGTACCCATATTAGCGTATCCACTTTTGATCATACCAATTTCGATGTCTCACAGCACAGATAATATAACCCCTACTAGTAGGGGTTATATTATCTGTGCTCACAGCCAAATTATTTACTTTCTTTTCATAGAAATGTTGCATTGTTGTTGAACGGGAATTAATAATAATAGAAGGAAAACATTTTTCTTGCGGATGTGGTGATCCAATTATAGCAGTTTCATGAAGGTTGATTCATACCTTGTCAAACAATTGGCATTCTGCTTCTCGCCATAAATGTAATGGACATAATTGAGTTATTTCATTTCTGCGCAAATACGAAACATTTAGGTATAATCTTTTTCAAACTATTCACTTTCAACAATGTATTACAAATTTGTAAGTAATGTGTTGGCTGTAAAACGTGAAGTGTGTGATTAAATTATCTCCTTTCCATCAGGTGACTTCATTTCAAATCTCAGGAATATTCATTATTAAATAATTTACATGACTCAAAGTAAAAGTCTTCATTCCATAAAGCAAATCAAAATGCAATAGGGCACGTAATCAAGTGTTTTATTATAATAAATACAAGTAAAAGTCCAATACAAAAGGCAGGTAGTCTGAAATCATGATATGCAAAAATGAAAAGTCACACACAAAAACTTAAAAAGAAAACAGCGAAACAAGACCAGAGCAAACCCATGCACAAACTGAAAAACTCAAACCAGACAGATTCTACTTAAAATTACCAATCACAATGTTCAAGAGATTTACCAATTTATGTCCAAGAGTGTATTTGCCAATTAAAAATACCGGAGAATTTTTTATTTGGAAAAAGACTGATTCCTAGATGAAAAGTAAAGTATATAATTTGTTCTGAGGTTGGTGGCCTCTTTTAGTTACTGTCCACATAAGATACGGACTTGTACGCGGAACGTATCCAGTAAAGAAAGGGGTAAATCGGTACAATACAAGGGTGAAGTGAATCGACAAAAGTAGTGGCAGTGTATATCTCTAGCCCTGAGTGGCAGGTACCATGATCAAAAGCTGTCCGAGTTACTTGAAGGCATTTAATTCCCAAAGGAAGGCATTTCAAGCAGCAAAGACTCAAAGACAAAGACACTGTCTCAATACTTGTGTGTATATGCAATACTACTTACTTGGTAGTTAACAAAAGGGTAGATGTAGCACCCGCCACTGCGCCACCCCAGCGCTAGCAGTCAGTCCCGCCATCGCGCTTGTGGTGTGTGTGACAATCAGCTGTGCCAGTCCAGTGTATACCCGCGTCTCTTACTGTGAGGTTGTGTGCCGGTCAACAGAGTATACACACGATCATGCTTGCCGTGACGTATTGTTGTTTGGGTAAGAGGCAATCATTGTAACTCTCATTTAAAATATACCATTAAATATTTTTGGTAGTTATTTTAGATTTTCTTTGGTATTTTTTTCCCATACATATATTTATATTTAGAATTATCCTAAACTAATCAGATTTTGGCGTGTAAATAATGTTTAGAATTTTTAACAGTTTAGTATACTTAATCAAATAGAATACCAGAGTATTATAAGGAGAACATTTTTGGATAGATTAAATTTTATTAGATTTTAATATTTTCTGTAATTGAAGAATACGTCAAATATGCTCTACTAATTAAGTTCACCTCAAATTTAACTTTGTGTACGCTATGTTACGCAAATTTGTAAACATTCTATTTGTTAATTTAGTAATTGGTTCAAGATTTAAGATTTTATTATGCCTTTCAGTGGTAAAAAATTAACCAAGTCACTTAATTATGAACAAACAGTCAAACAGCAGTACTCCTTGCCTCACAAACAAGCACAAGTTTAAAAGTTACACAATGCAAAACTAAATAAATAAAACTGTAGCCTAAAACTTTACAAAACAGGGAAAAAGCAAAACAGAAAACTTTAAAACCGTACTCAAGAAGTATCCGTTGATCGAGTGAAGGTTTGGGGTGCCGTTTGATTAAGTTATATCTGAAGTATGACGAAGAAGAAACAATCTACTTTTCCAATATCAAATATGGAAAAATACAAATAGAAAATTCATAATTGTCTTACAGTAATTAGAACCATATTTTGTAGATTCTAAATATTTTTAAGAATAAGAAAAATATAATCAAGCCTAAAAGTTTTACTTGTTGTAAATTTTTTCGTTTTTGATACTTTCTTTCGTGGTAATAATAAATTCTCAATTCCTAGGTTTTGAGGTTTAAGGAATTGCTCTATATCTATTTTATTAATATTTTTCAAAACATATTTTACAATAAAATAATTAATTATTACTTTATGTTCTCGCTGGCCTGTTTACCCACTTGGCTCGGTGTTGCATCATTACCCCAAGACGCTTGTTAGATGACAGATCAAAGACTGTGATATTTACAATCCGCTAAGTGTCCACTAGACATGAGAAACACAATGTTGGGGTCAGGGATGGTCGTTTGCTATTTATAAATAGAACACTTTGTCAAAAAATACACTACTAACGACACAAAAAATCTAAATATATACGGGGCTGTAGTTTGTTTTGTATTTATGCATGTTTGTAATGTTATGAAGACTACTTACAGTTGTTGTTGTAGCGAATTTCCCATATAGGGAAAAGCTATTACCGCAGGTCTTATGGTAATACCTAGACCCGGGACCGATTTCTTTTTTCATTTTGAGGTCCCCAGAGGCCAAAAACACCGTCCGTTCAAATTAATATATATATGTCCGATAGTGCGATAGCTCGAGCAAAAATGATCCGATTTTCATTAAATTTAGTACAAGTAAACCTACATTTATTCGAACAAGTTGGCGAACCAGCATAATCGAACTATGAGAATGGGGGCTTATGGGGAGTTTTATGGGGTAAGTTGATTTTTCCCATTTTTGACCCTAAAAACACAATATTTTATAATTTCTCTCCAAACCATTTTGAAGAGCTTAAAAAATAAATAATTTAGTATATTGAAGCATTGTTGTCCTTAACGGTTACGGAGATAATTTTAAAAATTGTAAATTTAAAATTCCCATGCTATTCTTATGGAGAATAAATAAACTGTTGTAGTTTGCTTGTTTATGGATATTTTTAAACATTATTTGGAAATTTTGTTTATTTAAAACTAAGCTAACGATATTGCAATAAAAACACGTCTCAATATCTTCACTGTAGCAGCAAACCTACGTACTCACTAAAACTTATGTTAATTAAATAGAAAATAAATCTGACAATCCTTAAAGAATTTTTTAGTAGAAATCCAGCCAGGTAAATGGATATTCGCTTAGTCTGCATGTTTTCTGCAGCGAGGGTATTTTTCAGTTTTAATCATGAGTAGTGTGGTAGTTTTATCATGCATAGCTAACTGCATTTGTTAGCTGTGGTAAAACATTACATTTGTCTACTTTTATCGCAGACATACGAATAGTCTAACTCAAAAGTATTTTATAGTACAAAAATAAAAACAAGGCACACGATACAGCAACTCTAGTTTCTTTGACACGCCCCCTTAAAATGCACAACCAACTGATTCTAGGAAGAATGCCATCCAAGTGAAACTCAAGGACCGATAAAAATACAATGTAATTGTATCAGTGAAGCGAGATGCTGCTTCTCCTTCCGTCCCATCTGCCAAGAAATGTCTCATCAAAAGCGCCATCTTCTTAATGTTGTCAGCAACCTTTTAGATGACCAGCCTCAAGCGAAAGTGTCAACCTGTATAAAGTGCTTTATTTGAGGATGAGATAAATTTTAAGTGAGGCACAATCGTATTGTAAACTATTCATAGGAATAAACAAAGTTTATACAATAATTCTTCACTATGGGTTATTCATGAAATAGTAGTTAATAATAATGATAATAGCTAAATAGTGTAGTGAATAATGGTAATGTATAATTCTGTAACATATTAATACGGTTAGAATTCTTGAACTAAAATAACAAAGCTTGATTATTTTTTTATTCCACCAAACAATTTTAAATTTCGCTTGTAGTCGGTAAAACTACAACACAATCTTTAGCTTAAAAAAATAGTTTATATATACATACTGAACATCTGAAAAGTTTATGTTGTTCCATGGACTGTATACGTGTGTTTTAACGGAACATTGATTGGATTTAATTTTCCATAAGAGTTCGTAACGACGCGTCGTTAAATCGAATACAGTATAGTGTATATCTATTTACCTAAAACTTCTATTTAAGGATTTCGAACCATTTTTATGACCAAATTCAATTTTTTACACAAATCTTTACAGGGTTAATACAAAGTTTAATGAAAAGTAGTGGAGGCTCTCTATCAAATTTTTAACGGCCCATACTAAAAAAAAACTTTAAAAAAACACTGCACCACCTTTATGGCATGTTATGAAGTACTTTTTGGGCATAACCACCATTTCGTGTACATCCCCAAAATGGGGGATTTCATGGGAAACTCAAAACTTTCAAATAGTAAGACCCATCAAGTGACCCCTCATTCTGAAGGTCCTGATAAAATAAATCCAACAACGCAAACTAGCGGTCTCTATCTAAACCTAGTAAAAAATGGCAGTCAATTGAAATCCTTAGAAGTCTAAATATATTATCTATTTGCTAGTTGTTTACCCACTAATTTTACCTAATCCAAACCCTGGTCTTATAATAAAACAAAATACTATAAAAATAGAAATTGTCTTTGGTGGTTCCATTAAGAAGCAGACTGTGTTCCAGACATCGAGCGCTCACCCTGGTGTAAAAGCGGATCGCACTTGAAATTCCAGACTTGTGAATTATAAACGGAGGTAGTTAGGCGTGCTCGAACTGACAGACATTGCTATGCGGGAGATGTGAAGCGATACTCAATTAAGGAAATACTGAATTTCGTCGTGTATCCGAGAAAAGATCTCCACTCCAGAAGAGTAGAATTTATTAATATCCACTACTAATTACTTACTATATGAACAACAATTACACTACATTTTGGGAGGTAATTAAACTCCTACCATTTTCAATTGACTAACTAATAATCTAAATTTACCTCCAATGTAGGTGAAGTAGTTACTCAAATGCAGATTATTAGTTAGGCACTTGATAACGGAAGGAGTTTCTCTACCTCCCGAAACGTGTGGTTTAACCTCTTAACGAATACACAAGCTTTTGGCTTGTTTAAAAAATGCGGTGAAGTTTTTTCATCTGACGTGTTCTTTATATCGAATAAAGATTTACTGAAATGTTAACTAATGTAAATTATGAAAACTCAATACTTAAAAATTCATTTTTTATTCCGAGTTTCGTCGTGTTAGACACGGTAACACAGAGTAAGTTAAGCTTATTGCCTAAGTTTGAAATATGAATGAGGGACATAATTAAACCTTTAATAATAAATGTGTTATAAGTCTTAAACATTTTTAACATGTTGTTAGCTTAATATTAATTATTTAACTGTATGGCCACTTAGGAATTTCTCCAACAAAAACTGATTGTATTTTTGGATTCAGCGTGAAAAATACTGTAAGTAGACATCAAAAAATTACACGATATCACATTGTTGATATATCAAATAATTACCCATGTTTGTATTGTGTTGAGCTTGAGCTTTCAATAAAATATTGAATGTTTGAGTAAGGTATAATAAGGTAATTTAATTGTTTCATAAAAGTTATAAGTTGACAAATAATATTGGTTTGATAAAATTATACTTACGATTATTGTAATTATATACTACAGCAAATCAAATTGGTTGGTGTTATAGCTGCCAGCTAAGTAAAAACAAAATTTGTATAGTAAAATTATTTCACCTAAAGTAGTAAAGCAATTATTATGTTTTACAAAAGAATTATTAACTGTAAAGCATACACGAGACAAAAAGGTAGAAGCATTGTAATTAACCCATTGTATTAACAACAAACCATTCTATTACAATTTTTCAGTAGGGGATATCATTTTGTATAATTAATTACATGATTACAAGAGAGTGCAAAATGCAATCAGTAGCGTTCACAAAGGAACATTTTTGCCATCTTTAAATGTGAAACATAATTAAAATCATTAAAATGGTATTACGAAAAACAGTTTAGTCACAAAATACAACCACTTAAATAGACGACTCTTTGTTGGGACGAAATGCGTTATTTTATAAAATAAAATGTAGGTAGTTTAACAATTATTTATTTACGAGCCGTGAATATTTTTATATTATTCGTAGTTATTTAAACGCAATTTCAAATTGTTTTACAATTAAGTTTAAACGACCAAACTTAGTATGAATTAAATATTAATTAATTGCCAATACATTAATAATAAAACTTATCAAGAAGGATTGAAAAGATGTCTCCGATGACATTATTGCATTACAGTCCCATTATAATATTTGTCAATCTCG